CCTTTACAAAAAAAGGGATCTATCAGAACTCCTTTAAAGGAGCTGCCTGGGCTGGGTTTAGGGTTTAGGGTTTAGGGTTTAGGGTTTAGGGTTTAGGGTTTAGGGTTTAGGGTTTAGGGTTTAGGGTTTTTCGTTTAGGGTTTAGGGTTTAGGGTTTAGGGTTTAGGGTTTAGGGTTTAGGTTTAGGTTTAGGGCTTAGGCTCCTTTGCAATTTGATCTACAAGGGCTCCTTTAGAAGGAGTCTATGCTTCATCAGGGTTTCTTGAGAAGGGATCTGGAAGGGTTCTTGAAAAAGGGATCTACAATCCTTTCGAGGGATTTTCGGATTCATGGAGCTCTTAGCACTTATATGCCCTTCTGGTCCGAATGTAAGCATACTGGTGCACCCCAGAACCCTATTCTGATCCTTTTTGGGCAGTTCTCTAAATTAGGGTCCCTTTGTAGCTCCCCAATATAGTACGGCACCCTTATAAAAAGGACCCTGAGAGGGGTTAGAGAACTATCCTATTACCAACCTGACCGCGCCCCTCAACCTCCCCGAAACCCTACTTGGAGGGTCGGGGGACTTTGTAAGTGGATATTAAGTAGACTTGTAAGTACCCTAAAAGGGATCCTAGGTCGGGTTATAGTACTTATAAGTCTATACAATAACTAGTTACTAAGTCCTCCGACCTTCCAAGTAAGCCAACTTACCACACCCCGAACTCAACTGCGACAGCCCTTCGCTGTATTTTGCCGCTTCCAGAACCCAGAAGCCCTAGAATGACATTCCTACAGCAGCCTGCATAAGCCTAAATACTTACCGATATTAACGCCGAATCCTTGGGGTTTTGTATTAAAAATGTATCACATTATACCGTGAAACAAAGTTCTAAGTATTACGGTCCGCATACCTTAAACCCTGCACCCTAAAACCCTAAACCCTAAGCCTAAGCCCCTAAAGACAAAACCCTAAACCCGAAATCCTAAGAAACGCTGACCTCCTCCGTCATGTCATCTCGGCCGTGGCCATGCAGGTTCGCGCACGAGTTCATGTGAGAAACCTGGCGGGGGAAATGAATACACATGCAAAGGTAGGTGAGTGGCTAGATGAGCAGATCAGCCCTAAACCCCATAGGTAGAGAAGCCAAACCGCGGTGGGCAGATAGAAGCTGAAACAGCAGGACCCTGGTAAACCCTCATGGAACGCATCTACACCCCTCATGACACTCTTCAAAAACCAACAGCGGACATCCCTAACCCTTGAACCCCGAAGCCCTACGTCTGTTTCGGGTTTAGGGTTTAGGGTTTAGGGTTTAGGGTTTAGGGCTGTTTAGGTGAAAACCAGCCCAAGTCTTCTGTCAAAGACACATTCCTCTGTACAACAAGGAGAAAAGGACATGACCGTAAAAAATCTATATTATAGCGCCCTTCATCAACACACACCTGGGGTTACTCTAGGCAGGTCTCATTTTTGGTTCGTGCTAAACTTCTGGAAACTGCCAGGGAGGGAGGGTTTCGAGATGTTTCGAGTTTTGGCTGGAGCTCTAGGAAGGGGGTGCCAGCTCAGCTCTGGTTAGGTTTTTCAGGGCAAAGTCGATCATTTAGGTTTAAAACCCTAAAACCTGAAAGCCCTAAACCCTAAACCCTAAACCCTAAAACCCTAAAACCTAAACCCCAAACCCGGAAGCCGACCTCTCGGCAAAGAGCCGTCAGGATGCCTCGCGCCTCCTCACGAACGTCAGGGTTTAGGGTTCAGGGGTTTGGGTTTAGGGTTTGGGGTTTGGGGTTTAGGGTTTAGGGTTTGGGGTTTAGGGTTTAGGGTCAGGCTTCAGCAAAGACGCGAAGTTTCAGGAGTGCAGCTGGCTTCACTTCCCTGGTAGGGTGGGGGCCGTAGTACTTCTAAATGGGGTGTCGGGTATGGTATAGTATACAATAACGAAACAACAATAAAAATCAACATGATTACTACTAGTAATTAGTAGTATTACTACCATTATTATTGCTATGAGCATAATAAAAATGAACTATGATACTGATAATGCTAAGGAATCCCAAGGAATGGTACTAGTCATCTGTCAGGCTTTAATCGTGCCCGAGACCCCCGCTGCGAAGGATGCGGAAGAAGCTTTTCTAGCAGCAAAGGCAGAGATAGGCTTTAGGGGTTCAGGGTTTCGGGGTTCAGGAGTTCTAGGGTTTAGGGGCTTAGAGTTTTGGATTTACATAGGCGTTTAGGGGTTCAGGAGTTTTAGGGTTTAGGGGGCCTAGGGGTTTGGAGTTACATAGAGGTTTAGGGGTTCAGGAGTTTTAGGGTTTAGGGGTTTAGGCTTTTGGATTTACATAGGCGTTTAGTGGTTCAGGAGTTTTAGGGTTTAGGGGCTTAGGTACGTAGGAGTTTAGGGGTATAGGAGTTTTAGGGTTTAGGGGCGTAGGGTTTTGTCGGCCTAGGCAGGCAAGCGCCCGGGACCTATGCCTCAATGTCCCACAAGGAAATCCCTGAACTGCGAATGCCAAAGATTCTAAGCGCCTCGGACAGGAGCAAGTACAGTATGTCATCAAAGCACCGTTTGGGTATCTAGTCTACTACTTGTCCAGTATCCTGGGGAAACTAGGGGTTAACCTTTCAGGATACATAAGGATTGTAACACCCCATGAAAGTTAAAGGTTACCTAATGCAGGGGCCGTAATAATTAGAAGAGGGTTTGGGGCACATTATACAATACTTTTTTCAGAAACCCTGAAAGTATAGGTAATTATCAAGGTCTCTATATTACTCTACTACTCACGGTATTTTTAAGGAACACCAAGGCAATCCCTAAACCCTAAACCCTAAACCCTAAAACCCTAAACCCTAAAACCCTAAACCCTAAAACCCTAAACCCTAAACCCTAAAACCCTAAACCCTAAACCCTAATCCCTAATCCCTGCAGATCCCGGCCAGGGGACCGACTCCCAAACCTGGTAACTCCTGCAAGGCTGAGCCACTGAGACCTTCAAAGCTGAGAAACGAAACATAACAAAACTGTGGTTGAGGGTTTTAGGGTTTAGGGTTTAGGGTTTAGGGTTTAGGGTTTAGGGTTTTGGGTTTAGGGTTTAGGATTTTGGGTTTAGGGTTTGGGGTTTAGGTTTTAGTACGGTTTAGGATTCGGGCAAGCTGAAGCAGCCTCTCTTTGTCAATGCTCCCACCTCCACCGCCTGATCTTCGCAAGTTGACCTGCTCTATGCAGCATCTGCGACGCTGCATGTGCTCACCACCGGCACTCAATGCATGCGGGTCGATCCGATCAGATAAGATTCACAATGTTTGCTCCCCATAGCTTCATCTTCAGAATGATTCAAGTCCCTTGCAGTCCGCCCCCAACTACTTCAGGCCCTCGAAGAAGAACACCTTGCGCTGGTCGTGCCACCACCACAACTGACCCTCGTTGCTTTCAAACGGGACCCAGCCCCACTCATCGCTGTTCTGCACAAAGAAGTAGTCGTCAGAGCGTTCATTGTGGAACCAGATCTCTGCGCTGACTGGATGCTTGTACTTGACCCAGCCTCGCTCGTACTCGATGCCCGACTCAATCTGAAAGGGGAGGGCGCCATCTGGATCCGCAGTCCGAGGTGGTGCTCTCCGCATTGAAGCAGCTGCCGGAGATTGTGATGTGCTAGACTGCAGTTGAGCCGAGTCTTCTGAACCAGCGAGCTCCACATCCGTGAAGGCTGGAGGAGCCCAGCTGTCAACATCAGCCACCTGAGGCTCTTCAACGCTGCTCTCGCTGTTTCGGGCGATGGCAACATCATGATTCTTCTCATCGTGCATGGGGGAGTTCTTGAATTCAACAATGCCATGGGTGTTGTGCTCCACCACAACAGCTTCACTTTCTGGGCAGCCCAGCCAATAAAAAGCTAAAGTTGCTGCCAGCGACCCACCAGGACAAGACTGCACAGAACCATCGTGCGCCACATCCATGAAAGCTAGAGGAGCCCAGCTGTCAACGTGAGCTCCGACAGTAGCTCTTCTACGCTGCCGTGGCTGCTAAGGGCAATGGCAGGATCATGAGTCTTTTCACACGGTTTAGGATTTAGGGGCGCGTTTTTGTGCTGAGTAGAACCATAGGTGTTGCGTTCCAGCACCCCAGCTTCGCTTGCTTCACAGCCCGACCAATCCCCTGGTGCCAGAGCCACTGCTGGATGAAGCGGTGCCATCCTCTTGGAATCCAGGCGTCCATCAGACCTCTGCACCCCAAAGTGGAGGTCATCCTCTTCACCCTCCGGCTGATGCCTTCGGCTGCACAACAATGATAGTACAGGGTCTTCACCACAGTCCTCTGCCGACATCGTGCCAGGGCAAAGCCCAGGTGCGTCGAGAATGGATGGCGGAACAAACTCAGCGGCGTCATAGCGGAGCCCTTGCCGGGCCAAGTCCACCTGGGCTTGTGTCCAGACAGCCGTGGACATTGACCGGGGGACAAACTCCCTGGCGTCACTGCGCACCTTGTGCCTTTGCTGGCCCATGTGGGCTTGTGTCGGCGAAGGCCAGGAATTGTGTTGGACCAACCCAGGGGGCAGGGGCTCTGGCCAGCAGTTCAGGTACGGGCACTGCGGAGTGGATGCCATGCTTTCTAGCACTTTGTGCGAAGGGCCCTCAACTGGTGCACGCAATTGAGCCTGACAGCTTTTCAAAAGAAGCTTTATATTCCCCGGTTCTTAGGACACTAAGGAATAGGGATCGGCAGCGGCCAGGACGTTTTAAGTTTTGGAAGATTGCCATGAGCTGGTGGCGCTGCCGGCCCCTGACAACACCCCAAGCCCTAAACCCTCAACCCCTGAACCCTAAACCCGACACGAATGAACTCTAAACCTCAAACCCCAAAGCACAGAGGCTTCGCACGTGCAGTGTGCGATCCCACGCCACCTTTTGAAGCTGTAAAGTTTAAAACTGCCTAAACCACTAAACCCTAAACCCCTAAACCCCTAAACCCTGAACCCTAAACCCCTAAACCATAAACCCCTAAACCCTAAAACCCTAAACCCGAAACCACGGTGCCGACTCTCGCACCTCTCCGGCCGTCCCTCCTTTCCTCCGCACCTGAGAGCCTCCATGGCAAAACCCCGGGCTTTCTAGGGTTTAGGGTTTTAGGGGTTTAGGGTTTAGGGTTTAGGGGTTTAGGGGTTTAGGGTTTAGGGTTTAGGGTTTAGGGTTTAGGGTTTGTTATAAGGTTTTGGGTTTAGGGTTTGTTGTAGGGTTTAGGGTTTAGCGTTTATTAAGGTTTAGTTTTCAACATACGGTTTAGGGCACTGTAGTTTTTAAGGTTTTAGAGTACTCTTGGGTTTTACGGCAGCAAAAATGGCTCGAAACGGCCCGTCCTCGGACTGGTCCCGAATTGCACGCGCCATGGCAATCGCTTCGCCTGCAGTCTCAGCAGTGCTGTCAGGGTTTTAGTAGGGGTTTTGAGTTTAGGGGTTTGCTGTTCAGGGTTTAGGGGTTTAGGGTTTAGGGTTTACTTGGAGGGCCGGGGGACTTAGTACCTAGTTATTTTACAGACTTATAAGTACCATAACCCCAATTAGGATCCCGTTTAGGGTACTTATAACTCTACTTGATATCTACTTACTATGTCCCCTGACCCTCCAAGTAGGGTTTAGGGATTACGGTCTAGGCTCAGGGCATCAAATAGCAACACCGGACAGGGCTTGTGCATTCGAGCTTTAGGTTTTGTGATCTCCGTACCCCCTAAACCCTAAACCCTACTTGGGTTCTAGGCCCTCTGGGCCGTTTACACTTGACTGCGGTATTTTGATCCGAGCTCGGAAGTTGTACCGACACCTAAGAGAGATAATCTGGCGTTTAGGGTTGATGGTCCGGGGTCTCATAAGACAGACACTCTGGGATGTAAGGCCCTGAGATCCCCTTAAACCCTAAACCCTAAGCCCTAAACCTCAAACCCTAAACACCCTAAACCCTAAGCCCTAAACCTTAAGCCCTAAACCCCTAAACCCAAAGCCCTAAACCTCAAAACCGGCATCAGGATCTAGGATTCAGGCTTTTTGGCTTGGGATTCAGGGTTGAGGATTTGCTGTTCAGGGATCCGACTCAGGGACTCAGGGTTTCGGGTTCAAGGCTTAGGGTTTCTTTTGGTTTGGCCGTGGATTCATCCGAAGCCAGAGGGTTTGGGGTTTAGGGTTTTCGGGTTTACGGTTTAGGGTTTAGGGATTTAGGGTTTTTAGGGTTTAGGGTTGAGGGTTTAGGGCTCAAGGCTTGCACCGGGTTCGGGGTTTAGGGTTTGGGGCGCCAGCGTGCTGAGCTGTGGACATAGCGGGATGAGCGCCTCCTGTTGGCCACGGCGTCTGCATAAGAAAAAGGATGACGCTTGATAATCAAGGTATTTACCACCGCACCTATCATACGTGGCGCTGAACAGAGAGAAGTATGCTTGACAAGCAACAAAGATTCCCCGTATTACCGAAACCCTTGACCCTAAATCCTGAACCCAGACTGCCCTCAGACTGAGAACCCTACAGGAACCCTAAACCCGAAACCCTAAAAGTGGAAACCCTACCCGAAATCCCAAACCCAAGAAGTACCCTTATTGCAACTCGCGTCACCCTAAACTCCTAAACCCTAAACCCACAACCCTAAAACCCTGCAGAACCCTTACTGCGAAGGAACCCTTCAAGAAACCCTAAATCCCAAACCCCAAAACCATTAAAGAAATCACAGAACTTCGAACCCTTGTGGAACCCTAAACCCTAAACATTGCAGAGCCCAGTTAATGTAGGGGCCTTAATCAATAGAATAGGGTTTTGGGGGTTCCTTCTTATAATTATAGTACAAAATACCCAAAACCTTACTGTTAAGGTCCCTACACCCTAGATCCCTTGTAGTATTCTTATGGAAACCCTGAACCCGAAGCCCTAAGCCCTGAAACCCGAAGCCCTCAACCCTAAATCAAGGCCCCTAGATTGCATAATTATAGCACAACAGACCCAAAGCCCTATTCCAATTTTCAAGGCCCCTATATTACACCCAACCCTAAACCCTAAACCCCTAAACCCCTAAACCCCTAGACCCTAGACCCTAGACCCTAAACCCTAAACCCTAAACCCTAAACCCTAAACCCTAAACCGAAGAGGTCTCGGGTTGGCCGCTCCAAGATGCTGGCCTTCGTCACGGGCTCGAGCGTGCCCCGGA